GAAACTTTACCATTGACGAGCAATGATTCAGCTGAATGCTTTGACATTCAGCTTGTCAGTTAAAGCTATTTTAACCATTAAGATGCATTTCCCTTCCAAGATTGCAAACTGTTGCTGCTCATACACAACATTCTATAATTTGATTACTGTAGAGAAGAAAAGAATCTGAAGGGTTACTATTACTATCAATTATATTAAGAGCTAAAATTTACGGAATATTTTACTGTGTGTGAGGAGTTGTACTTAGTAATTTACATAGATTGGCTCATTTAATCCTCTCAATCATGGGGTCAGACCACCTGAGTCTGCATTCCTGTTCTCCACTTACTATTGATATAACATGCAGCCCTCGTGTGATATGATTTCCTCATCCACAAAATGGAGTAACAGTACCTAGCTCACAGGATTATCATGAAGATTAAATGAAACACATCATTAACAGTGCTTAGAATAATACCTGCAACACAGTGCATTTTCATAGTGTTAAAGTAATTTTTATTACCATTTTTTTAGATGAAATCGACCAGTTCTTCACCGACTGTCCTTCTCGGAATCACTTCTAACTATGTCTCTGTTCCCAAACCCAGAAGTACAGATAACGGAAAATGGAAAATAATTTTCAGGACATTTTTTCTGTAGACATTTGAACTCCAGCTCCACAGGAGGGAGCACAATTGTGGAAGTATAATACTTTCACAGTATGAGCCTTTTAAATGTTTTTCCTGTTGTTTCTTTCTTCACTGTAGCCTTTCTCTATTCAAGGAGCTAGACCTATGTGCTGATGAATCCCTATTAAATGGGTTGGAAGTGAAGATTTAGACAGTTTGGGGGACTTCAGAGGAGAGAGGTCATTTCTTCCAGGTATTAATGAGTGGCATAATGGCAGCAAGATACCAGAATCCCATAGTTTTCTCACGCCCAAGTTTGTAAAAGAGCGTAAGAAATATATATCAGGTGTTTATGTAGACAACTTCAGCAGCCTAACAGAGTTTCCTGGGCGATGTCATAGAGTGAGAGCAGCTGCATGATCCCATGGAAGCTAAACTTCTCATAGTTCAGAGCAGCACTAGGACGTTTCCTATTGCAGCAGAAACTATGCTGTGTTGTTACTGAACTCCTTCCTTTCTTTTCTGAGCACAAAGCTAAACTGAATATTCTACCCTCCCGTGTTGTTAGTTGGGTAAGTGAGACTGATTTTTAAAACCTTTATGAACCACTATATATGTTCTCTTCTCTCATCTGCTAGTTAACATATATGAACCAGTTGAAGGACATATGAGTCTGGAAAATGACAAGACTCATTTAATTAGGAGTTATTAACCTGGGATATATTTAATAAAATGTAGAACCATGAGTTTGGATTTGGAACAAAAACAATTCTGTATTTTCATCAATCTCTAACTGAAATCTGGCAATTCTTTCCATTTTAAATGTAGGAATTAATGTGCAGTAGTATTAATAATACTTGGAACTTTGTAACCAGTAAAAATCATAAGTATTTTCATATCACATAGATACTTAAGTTATCTTGAATATCATTTATACTCAAATTTACTTTGAAATAATAGTAATTATTAGGCCCACTGCTATATGCTAACAAAAAGCACATATATTATTAAAACAAAAATATTTTTAAAATATTCAATAACTGTATATCAATGAAATTGTTTTTCTTCGTAATCTAGTATAACTTTTACATATTTTAAAAACATTTTTCTGCTTCGCCAGATTGTCAACAGGAGCTATAGAAAATTAAGAATCCCTGTTCTAGATGGATCCTTGAATGAATCCATGGAGTAGGGTTATCTTTTCCCCTCCACTCCACATCACCACCACACTGATGACCCACATTGTATATGATGTAAGAAATAAGATTTCACTGGGTTAAGTTACTGAAATTTCGAAGTCAATTTTTAGAGCAGTTAGCCTGTGCAGACTAATACTAACATACCCTTTCTACCAAAATGGCAAGAGTCCTCTGGGTATAAAAGACCCAGAAGTGCATCCTGAGGATCAAAGATTGGATGGGGCCCATTGAAAATGTCTCCGCAGATAACAACTCAGAAAGAGTGAAGCTCAGTCCACGAAACATTTCCTTCAACTCAGAAACAAAGTTCAAATACAGTATCATGAAGAAACAGTTCAATTATTTTTTAATTTGTATACTGAAATTTATAACTGTGACACAACAATGAATTTCCTTATTTATTATTTCTCTTCTTTTACTAGAGTGGCAGTTATTTTCATTTCTCATAGCAGATGTTAAGTGCTTTTGAATTCATCAAAGTTTTGTAGGTATGTTTTTAAAACACATCTATGGTTTTAAAACAACCTCTGATTAGCTCTGTTCTCAGCTAGAGTTTAACACTGAAGAGAAGCAACTAACTACAAATATGAGATCAATACTGTGTAAGTCCTTCTATGGACAATATGAAAGTTGAAATTTTTTTTAAAAAGGCCTATTGATTCAAAGAGTCTTGATAGAGCCCTCCAGAATTTTCAAGATGTCAATTTTTGGGGTGTAAATTTGTCAACAATTTTCAAGACATCAAGTTTTGTTTAATTTCATCTTTGCTTTTAGACTGTTCTGCCACCTTTATTTTAACCTTAGGCTAAATGAATCAGTCATTCTGAAACTTTCAGGTTATTAAAACCTCCTCTGAGGACAGATTCTAACCACCAAAGGCTTACTGTATCTAAATTTCTATAACGTATTGAACTGTAACTGAATGAAAATAAAATGGGGTTAGTGTGCTAATGTTTGGGTTTTGGGATTAAAATGCAAAAACAATATAGTCCATTTATGCTTGAATGCTCTATAATATAAACATCAGTCTGTCCTGATCACTGCTGTATACTCAGCTCAAGCCAAATGCCTGACAAAAAAATATTTTTATGAATGAGTAGACTAATCAAAGAGCATTTATTAAAATTATATACAGAATATGCTATTTATGACTAGACTTTGCCATAAGAAAGTTGCTGTCTTTCACACATCTAAGGGGAAAGTGACTAGATTAAGAAGGTAAAGCTTCTAAACTGCTGGTAGCTCACTGACCCTTGAAATTCCTAAGTTGATACAAATTTCTTTGATGGAAGAAAAACTGTGGGATTATATTACTACAATTAAGTGGCTTCTAACATACCAATCTTTTAAAACTAGTTTGAGGCTGGGCACAGTGGCTCATGCCTGTAATCTCAGCACTTTGGAACGCTGAGGTAGGCGGACCACCTGAGGTCAGGAGTTCAAGACCAGCCTGGCCAATATGGTGAAATCCCGTCTCTACTAAAAGTACAAAATTAACCGGGCATGGTGGCGCATGCCTATAATCCCAGCTACTCAGACGCTGAAGCAGAAGAATTACTTAAACCCAGGAGGCAGAGGTTGCAGTGAGCCAAGGCCGCACCACTGCACTCCAGCCCCAGCGACAAGAGTAAAACTCTGTCTCAAAAAAAAAAAAAAACCAGTTAGTTTTAGTAGTTTCTGAGTATTCGCATATGTATGTACTAGGAAATACAAGAATTATTTTGGCTCTTTAACTTTTCATGTTAATTTTCACATTCGAAAAAGCAAATGGCATAAGGAACCCCCTAAGTACCCATTTCCCAACCCGACAATTACATATTGCCATTCTTATTTCATTTTACCTCTTCCCATCTTTTTCTTCTTTTTTTGCCAGATTATTTTAAAGAAAATCCTAGGCCTCCTATTATTTCAGCTATAATTATTTCTGTATGTATCTCTAACAGATAAGGACTTTCTAAAAATAAACAGTACCATTTAGCTCCTCTAATAAAATTATTAATAATTCCTGAATAGAATACAGTCCCTGTTCAAATTTTGCCTGATTATCTCAAAAATGTCTTATACATAGTTTGTTTGAATCAGTATCTAAACAATGTCCATAACAGTTGAGTTTAGTTAATATAACTGTAAAGTTTAACAGAAAAATGCTTCCTTTTTTTTTTCAATGCCATTTATTTGTTAAAGAAACCAGGTCATTTGTTCTGTAAAAACCTCTCATTCTGGATTTGGCTGTTTGCATCATGGTACAGTTAAGTCCCTCTATTTTCTGTAAAATGGTAGTTAGATCTCATAATTTTCTTTTGAAAAGAATATTTTATAGATGGTACTGTGCACTTCATGTTGTATGAGAAACATATTTGTCTCCATGTTTAGTGATGTTAAGACTAACTACACTGCCGGGCGCGGTAGCTCACGCCTATAATCCCAGCACTTTGGGAGGCCGAGGCGGGTGGATCACAAGGTCAAGAGATCGAGACCATCTTGGTCAGAAAGGTGAAACCCCGTCTCTACTAAAAATACAAAAATTAGCCAGGCATGGTGGTGCACGTCTGTAGTCCCAGCTATTCGGGACGCTGAGGCAGGAGAATTGCTTGAACCCAGGAGGCGGAGGTTGCGGTGAGCCGAGATTGTGCCATTGCACTCCAGCCTGGGTAACAACAGCGAAACACCGTCTCAAAAAAAAAAAAAAAAAAAAAAAAAATACTAACTACACTGACTTCAAGTGTTATCAGTCTGGTCCATGATTACAAAGTGCTCCAACTTTTACCTAATGCTATTAGCCATTGAGACTCTTGGCTGGATCCATTATTTCATCAATAATTACAAAATGATGATATTGTATTTCTATCACTATTATTAACTGGAATTCCATAAGGAAAAACTGCTTTTCATCAACTACGTGGTTATCCTGAAATACAACTCATGCTAGAAAACAGCATAAATGCTTGTTTCTTCATTGAAATTAATCTATTTCCAGCATGAGTTGGTATCCTATTAACTACCGATAGCGAGCAATGAGTCTCCCTCAACTCACTCTACCCGTCTCCTTAAGGTCACCAGGTGGCTTTTACCATAAAACCTAGCAGGGCTAGCATGGAATAAGATAGGACGGAATTGGGGAGGCCAAGGCAAGAGGCAGGGATTTAGGAGTAGGAGGTACTGGGGCAAGGAAGACAAAATACCTAAGCATGCTCTAGGAGGTAGAATCTGAGTTTTCTGAGCTGTCCTGGACTTCGGTGCTCTCCACAGACTCGTTAGGTTCTTTGCAGTCACTGCCACTATCTTCGGTAGCTGGGTTCTTTTGCTGACAGGCCTCTTCAGAACCAGAAAGGGTGCAGCCCTGGGTCTCCTGGTTCTCCCTGGAGCCCAGGACCACACACTCGCCCTTCTTCAGCTCCATTTGTCGTCTCAGCTCACCTGCCATCTGCGAGAGATCCCGCTTCATAGCATAAGCATCTTCCCCATCTGCATAGTATTTAGGTTCCACCTCACTAACCTGAAAGTTGAGGGTGTTAGAATAGAGGTGCAAGGCTGCCCGGTTACTCTTCCTGACATGCAGAGACACGTAGTTGGCGTTAAAGTTCTCTATCATGGCCCCGGAGGCCTGGTCCATCAGCTTCTGGGCCAGGCCGAGGCGCCGGTGTGAACGCTTCACGGCCAGGGAGGTGATGTGGCCATGCGGGACATCCTCTGGGTCCTCCTCCATTTTGGCCAGGACATAGCCCACAATCTTCCCGTCCTCATCCTCAGCGATGTAAGAAAGCTGGGGCCAGGAAAGGCCGTGATATAAATAGTACTTCATCTGGTAGTTCTCAGGAAGGCAAAGGAGGTTGCAGTGCTGCACGTTCATCAGGTCGTCTGGCCGAGCGTTGCGGATGTTCATAATGGCGGCGGGTAGGGGGCCAGCTGGACCGCAGTGAACTCAGAAAAAGCTGTCGCTGACCTCGAGGGACACTGCTTGGCTCAGGGACAGAATCCGGGGGACCGATGCCGCCTGGCTGGATGGTGTGGAGGCCAGACGGCTGGAAGGCGGAACGAGTAGGAGACGGAGAAGACGGTGCTAAGCTGCAGCTTCTGGAAGTGCGTCACGGATCCCCGCCAATGAGGTTTCGCTTCATTGTGTGTTGTGCGTGCGCAGGGGGTTGGGGGTGGGCAGCGCGTCTATTGTGATCTCCTTGGTTTCAAGTAAAGTGATCCATTGCAGTTATTGTTTTTATTTGTTTCAGTTTTAAAGTTTTGATGTGGGTACATCTGAATAAATTTTCACAAACTGGATAAACCCATATAACAAGAACTTAAAGGAAATAAAAAAAGAACGTTACATCCCAGAACCCCCCTCCTGCCCCCTTCTAGTACCTACTTCCAACATCCAAAGAATAATGATTACCTAGACTTCTAAGAGACTTTATGTAAATGGAATCATAGTGCATGCATTCTTTTTGTGTCAGGGTTTTTCACTGGCTCTTTGTAAGTTTCAGCTACCTCATGTACAGCTGAGGGTTCTTCATATTCTTCCTTGTTTGATGTTGCCTAAATAAGTCAGAATTTCTTCATCAATTCCACTGTTACTGGCCATTTTGTAATTTCCGGTTTGGGAATAGTACCCCTAGGGTAGCTGAGCATTCTAGACATGTCTTTAGTTGGAACAAACGCATATTTATCTAGGATTAGAATTACTGGGCCAGTGAATATAATGACGTTCAACTTTAACAAATACTGCCACTTTTTCAAAGTGGTTACTCCACATTCTCAACAATATTTGGTATGTCCCCGTTGTTTTTATTTTAGCCATTCTTTTGTAGGAGTAGAGGTATTACACTCTTCTTTTATTTGCATTGCACTGATGAGCAGTAAAAACTGAGCACTTTCTATGCTTGTTAATCATACTGTGTCCTCTTTTGTAAATGGCTGCTCAGATTTTTTGCTCATTTTTCTACTTGTGCTTCTTTTTCACATTAATTTTTGTGTTTTATCAAAAATATATTCTGGATAGAAGTCCTTTGTCAGATGTATTTATAATGAATATCATCCTTTTCTATTGGTTGATGTTTCCCTTTCTTAATGGTGATTTTAGACACCAAGTATGAATCTTAATATACTTCAATTTGTCCAGTTTTAAAATTTGGTGGTGAATGCTTTTTGTATTCTGTTTAGTAAACCTTTGCCTACTCCATGGTGACTGAGGCATTCTTTTATATTTTCTTCTAAGATCATTTGTTTTACATTTTATATTTAGATCTGCAATTCATTGCTGTTTAGTTTTGCCTATGCTGTAAAGTATTGGTGGAGCTGATACTCTTTTCCTGTGTGGATATGCAATTCATTTAGCACCATTTTTTTTTTCACCATTTAGTGAAAAAAAGAATGATCATCGTTTCTTCACATTACTGCATTGTTACCTTTGTTATAAATCCTAAGTTTTATTTCTAGATGCATTTAAAAATTTTAATGCCATCTTAGCTGTGTGTGGAGGCTTATGCCTGTAATCTCAGCTGCTTGGGAGGCTGAGGCAGGATGATCACTTTAGGCCAGGAGTTTGAGGCTGTAGTGAATTATGATTGCATGACTGCACCCCTGCCTAGATGACAGAACAAGAAGAATAAGTAAACAACTCTATGCCATCTCAATAAAGCAAGATTTGTAATATTTAATAGGGCAAAGAAGTCACATTTTATTAGCACTGCTTGCACGGAATTATCTGTATGTCTTGTACAATCTTTCTTCCCAGTTTCGCAGCAGACCTCAGAACTCAAGTACCAAAATGAATTATGTTGTAATTAGCCAGGTCATGGATACACTGTTATCTAGAATATGTGTGCAGCTTTCTTTCTAATGAGGGTATACAGTCCTTTAATAGAGTAGTCTAGAATCATGTGATCTCTGAAACATAGCTTGAATAGCCACTATTTTTTGTTGTATTTTGACAATTGGCAGTTTCTATTAATATATTTTTAATATTTAACATAAGCATTTTAGCTCCCTGATTTTTTGATAGGCTCTAAAAATTGGAAAAGTTATTCACCGTTATTATTCCCATTCAGAAATTTCTTTCATGTTATGCTTTACACCATGGACAGGGATATGTAATTTGTAGTGATGTAGCTCTAAAATCATTATCCAGAAGAGTTCATTGTGTTGATTCTTCTATAATAGGTTCTTCTTTTAAAACGTATAGACTACCAAAACTTGAGTGCACTGTATTCTTTGACAGGGTTAATTTAAATGCAGCCAGGTCCATTACAGCTGCTATCTTTTTCCACAGAATAGGTGCTGGCTTAATGCCCAAGAGTTGGACAGCATACTTGACTTGTTCCAGAGTAGGCACAGTACCAAAACCAATGGTTAATGAGCATGGTTTTTAATATACAGTAATGTGATCTTTATACATATATAATCACAGAGGGAATATGATGACTACTCCTCTGTCATGGAAGAAGGGTCTACCAATCACAATGACCACAGCAGCTAAGACAAAAAATGCAGCAACTAGTTATATTCTGATAGGCTTGCTTCTTTTTTGACAGAGAAGTTGCCATCATGTATCCTCGGGGTTTGCATATTCATTTCAGCTGCAGTGAAAAGCAGGGATCCAAGACTCAAAATGCTGACACTTAAGGTGGTGTTGGTAGTACGTAGTACTTAATTTGGCCCCTCCTCCTAAGGTCCGGTATAAATGTTCTCTGATGAATCATAATGTACCTCTAATTTCTGGACTATAGATCTAGCATGTCTTGTTAGGTTTTGTATATGGTATGTTTTTATCAAAAGTAAAGGGCATCGGCAGTCTTCGTTAACATTTTGCAAATATTTAGCAAAAAGTCATCTAATACATAAATGTCTTATAAATGAGAGCTCCTCGGGTTCTAGTCAGGTCTAATGTCATATCTATAATATTTTATGTGGAAAAAGCTCCCGTCTTCTTAACTGGCTTTATATCTCATGCCTATAGAATCTAAGGACAAGACGTATGATTATTTGAGCCTGGTTTCTGCACAAATCTTAAGTTATTTTTTAACCTTATGTTTCTACATCTTATCTATCTCTTGTATGAATTCTACATACCACTGAGGCGCTAGTGGATGAATAAATAATTTCTATACTCTTCCTTTACAATATAACTTGCAAACTAAATTTTCTTCTTCCCAGTAACAAACATGTTTATTCTAAATATTATAAAAAGATTTTAAATAGCTTTTCATTACCCCCTTCACCTGAGTAATTTTATCAGGTTTAGTGTAAGAATATATTATACACCTGAAAAAGAAATATATATATATATATATATATATATATATATATATATATATATGACATTTCCTAAACACTTTCATTTAGGCAACTTTTCTTTATATGTGTGAATAAATCTATGCTTGCAAATGATCCTAACAATGATGGGTTAGCCTTCCTTTGTGTCTTTACTGGACTTTCTAAAATACAGGCCTGACAAATGGGGAAAATGTAACAAAATAGACCAATTTGGAAGAATTAGCAGCATATCAATTATATATCTGCTATTTTTACTATCATCTCTTTAGTTTGCCTTTCTTCTTCCATTGGCCATAAAAGCAAGATGAATATTTGTGGGCTCAAACAAATTTGGAAAGAAAAAGGCACTCTATTAATCAGTAAGGGTTTTTCTTGTTTGCTTGATTCTGCTTTGTGGGGAACATTCCCGTGTGAGACCCCTAAAAGGCGTGAGTCTCACTATACGGTGAGTTTGATCCCAAACACAGTTTCCTACTGGAGGCAGTCGAGCTATCCGGAAATATAGGAACTGAAATATGAATGATCAGTTTCTAATATCAACCACAATATCGTTTTGGGCCTAAAATTATGCGTTGCTGCTAGACCGAGTGACCCCCTGCCGGCAACCAGTTCTTGCTTTTAACCTTTTTATGACCCTTTAAGAATAAGTTTTAACCTTACCTAACTGCCTTGTACCCTAGATAATGGTTTAACCGTCGATATTTGCAAAGCAAAATGCCACCATAAGGGATGGCTTTGATTCCTGACTCAGAGATTCCTGAATGGGGAAGTTGAGTTAAGTTGAGTCAGGAGTAGACAAAGGAGAATCCGATTAAAAGATATTCTGATGAGCAAAACCAAAAAACCTTTTCACATCTCAGTTCTAAAACAAGGTCAAACCAGAGATACCTGCAGCCAGGAGGAATAATGTTTGGATGTAAACAAGCTTTGTGAATAATGTTTGGATGTAAACAAGCTTTGTGAATAATGTTTGGATGCAAACGAACTTTGTGATTGTAGGAAATTCTGTTACTTTTTACAACCATTGATTGTGTATCTGACTTCTCTATTGTATAGGCCATGTGAGGCATACATTTGCATTTCCTCTTACTGTGACGTAAACCAGAGCCAAGAAAGTGTATTTATTCCTGGCCTTTGAAAAATAAAATTTGCTGTTTAGGCACAGCCTATCAGCCCTCCAGATGCCTCTCTTTCTCTCTGTCTTTATTATTTTTCCAGGCGCACTCCCTCTTCCAGGTATTGGGACCCTCTTGCAGGTCGAGAGACCCCCGGGCAGACGTGCCTACCCGTCCCGGACAGTCCACGACACTACTTAATCCTGAGTCTGAGGCCTAATCTTAAAGAAAGGTAAACACAGAATAGTTTTCAGGATGCGTACAGTGGTTCACACCTGCAGTCCCAGCATTTTGATAGGCCAAGGCAGGAAGATCGCTTGAGCTCAGAAGTTTGTGACCAACATGGGCAACATGGCAAGGCCACAGCTCTACAAATATTAAAAAAAAAAAAAAAAAAAAAAAATTAGCCAAGCATAGTGGTGCACACCTGTGGTAGCTGAGACCATCAGGAGGCTGATGTGGTAGCGTCACTTGAGCCCAGCAGGTGGGGATTGTAGTGAGCCATGATTACACCACTGCACTCCAGCCTGAGCAACAGAGCAAAACTCTCTCAAAGAAAAAA